GTCAATCAAAGTGGTCTAACAATAACAGGTGTATATACATAAACGTTGTTTAGGTAACCATGCCAACACATGGAATTAATAAGAAAGCATGTGGCAAATATCTGTTGTCACCTTGCATGGGCAGAACAGGTAATTAGAATAAAACGATGTTGTTTTCACAACAATAACATTCAGAAAAGATTCAATCTTATATACGGATAAATTTTTCACTTTTTTTTTTTAAATACACGACTCAAAGTAGTTTTCTGATCGCCTGCAAATCTGACTGAATCGGACATCGATAGGCCTATCGGCAGAGTGTGTACTTTTTGTAAAAGGCAGTCACTCAAACAGGTCCGACGAGGACCGCCAACAGCCAAATTCACGAGACATAAAAAAAAAAAATGTGATTTCAGCAAATCTTCTTTGAAAAGAAACGATCGGAATGTATTTGGCTGTTTTGGGCCAGTTAATATTTATTTTCAAAACTCTAACTTTTATTATTATCGGTTCAATTCGCATGTATGTGACTTTGTGAGTTCCTGCCGGTAAACAGTATCACGCGACCTTGACTCTTTGCAATATATAAACTTGCAAACTTCGCCACTTTCCCCATGTCGTTTTGGTACATTCCTACTGTCAAGACTAAATAGTTCAGCATGGCTTACCCAAGAAAGGCATTTTAACCCCAGAGTACTTATTACGATGCAAATCTTCGTTATGTTTCCCCATACGTGGTACCGTACCTGACCGTACCGTACCGTACCAGGCCTCCTTTACTCGATTCTATCGTATAATATCACTTAAACTTGCAATTTTTCGTAATGATTAAATAGACAATGCAATCAGGAGTTATTCAACGAAATTTTACAGTTTATTGCTGCGAGCATATTCCAAAACATTTCCAAAAATTCCCGAAAAATCCAATGGTCGCGACCAAGGACTGGTTTTGGATTGTTCTTGAGTATCCGCGCACCCCTTTATTAACACATTCATTTTTCCTTAAAAACGTGCACACTTTATGTAAATATTTACGGTAGTCGATGGCCAGACATTAAATATCTAAATCAATCAACAGCAATCCATAATATAACACTTCGGGAACCTTAAAGGTGCCTGATTCACACTCGGATCTTCTTTAGGATATATGTTATTCCCGTGTGAAATTTCGAACACCTTCAGGTTGTATGTTATTCCTGTTTGAAAAGGAAATCTTTATCTGAGTTATCCAAGAGCTTGTAATTCGCTCCTGGTATATTCCGACAGAAGCAAACACACGAAAGCTCTTCAGAGTGATAGGAAACAGATGTCAAAATCTGCGACTGAAACCGAAATTGATAGGCCTAGTCCCCGCTGGGGTTCCCCCAGGGGTGACTAAAAAGTAACTATAAATAAAGATATGCAATATAACCTTTTTGTATATATATAGGATCTTACATGAGTTTCCATTTCATATGAAATTTATGAAACTAGTCTTAGATTTTTTTCTATTGGGCGAGTCTCTGGCGAAAACATGTAATGAAAACGTGTGTAAAATCCTTTTTATAACATAATACAGATTTGTGGCATTTATTCGTGTTAAACGACAATTTGCATGCTACATTGAAATGTAAACCGCCGCCATTTTGACTCCAGTGTGTAAGTCTGTGACGTCATGTACTTGTCCTAGGCGTGACGTCACAATTGAAACAATTGAAAACTTACAACCAATCTCAGGGCTGATAGGTCAGATCACAAGGGTTAATACGCAAAAAAGTATAGGTGGCAGAGTACAGTAGAAATGGCTTGACCCTAAAAATAAAGGGCATGTCTCGGATAAACATGGATAGCGGATTCATCCTGCACAACACACCTACATATATATATATATTTATAAACTACATTTTTAATAGGTGTTTTTTAGAAGAACATTTTTTTTTTCAAAAAGTGATTTCCCCAGATTTGGGACTTCTGAAAACCATGGTTACCACATCAAAAAACACCAAAATATGCAAAAAATCATGATTTTTAACCCAGAATTTGACCCCCGCAAGTAGAATTGTTTTTCTTAAAACCTGTCTGAAATTAAATATCGCCTACTCGGTAACAGAAATACTCACGTTTTAGCATAGGTCATTCCGGTGGATTTTTCACAATATTTACACATGTGCTGAGTACAAAAATAGACTACATGAAAAGCTAGCTTTTGTTGTGTAGACACAGATTCGTAAATGCCCAAAATTGTAGTCTCAAACCAAATTCGACTTTTCTTTTTTTTAAATTATGAAGCCCACATAGTCCACTTCATCATGTATATGCCAATTTTAGTGCTGATTTTTTTTTTAAATTTTGATACATGTTATATTACAGGGGTTATTCATTGTATAAAAATATCACCCATGGCCACCGTACGCTACTGTACTCTGCTACCTTATACATCCCTTTTTTTCCCCAAAAATTCAATCAAAACCTTTTAAATGTCTGGAAAATGACACAATGAACAAAAAGATGTATCCGTTTCCTTTCTCACTTTAAAAGTGACCGAGTAATATGAATTCTCCTGCTAGGTGATTTTTTACCAATTCTGCTCTCAAACTACCAACAAAGGGAGGTAATCTGAAAAATTAAAACTTGAATAACTTTGTAGTTTTCAGGAATAATTTTTTTTTTGGGGTAAAATATGATGCTTTAAGATCATGTGCATGTGAAAAACAAAACAGAACAGTGATACAAGGATGTTTCTGTCTTGTGTGATGACGTCATAGTTACTGTGATGTCATCATAACTATGACGTCATCAATGGGCATATGTGACATCATCAAGGCTCACTGATATCAAAATGAATACCAGGAAACCCATCACAACAACAAACTAGAAACAGACACACTTCCCGTAACCGATGAACAGCACAAAACTGTCAGATATTCTGAAACATCAGACAAATGACACCATAGCAACCGTTGTTTACTTTCCTCGCCTAGAATTGACAGTGACCCCAGACATTGGTCATTTTACATATTTCACTAGAAAAAAAAGTTTTCTTCAGCTGTAATTATGGAAATAAAATTTATTGACATTATTGACTTTGTTAATTTAATCTGTAAGCTGAATCAAGTGGAAAAAAACATATAAAATAGTGTAATTAGAATGAAAACAGATATTTTACCCATTTTCAATAAATACAACTTTATGTGTTAGTTACCATGGATACCGGGTGCTGAACTAAGTGAAACAGACTGAAATCTGGTCTGAATGCATCAGGAGATAGCCTGTTAATTATTTGTTGTTTGGTATCAACTTTACCAATTACACAATTGACACATATGTGATGAAGTGTGAAGTGCCTGTGAAAAGGGCGAGTTAACCCCTCTTTATACATTCACAGGTAATAGGCTAGTGACCTATATATTGACCTTTATATGTAACTTTTTAAACGTTTTGAGTAGTTTTAAGCAATAATGAATGAAAGTGAAGCTGAATAAAGCATAAAAAGGCTTTTTTTCAGAAAAAATCAATGTCTGTGTGTATAAGGTGGCAGAGTACAGTAGAAATGGCTTGACCCTAAAAATAAAGGGCATCTCTCGGATAAACATGGATAGCGGATTCATCCTGCACAACACACCTACATATATATATATATTTATAAACTACATGTTTAATAGGTGTTTTTTAGAAGAACATTTTTTTTTTCAAAAAGCAATTTCCCCAGATTTGGGACTTCTGAAAACCATGGTTACCACATCAAAAAACACCAAAATATGCAAAAAATCATGATTTTTAACCCAGAATTTGACCCCCGCAAGTAGAATTGTTTTTCTTAAAACCTGTCTGAAATTAAATATCGCCTACTCGGTAACAGAAATACTCACGTTTTAGCATAGGTCATTCCGGTGGATTTTTCACAATATTTACACATGTGCTGAGTACAAAAATAGACTACCTGAAAAGCTAGCTTTTGTTGTGTAGACACAGATTCGTAAATGCCCAAAATTGTAGTCTCAAACCAAATTCGACTTTTCTTTTTTTTAAATTATGAAGCCCACATAGTCCACTTCATCATGTATATGCCAATTTTAGTGCTGATTTTTTTTTTAAATTTTGATACATGTTATATTACAGGGGTTATTCATTGTATAAAAATATCACCCATGGCCACCGTACGCTACTGTACTCTGCTACCATAGCATTGGTATATTCACTGGATAATAATTACATTATGTGATAAATTAAAATTAGGAAAGGGAAACAAACATAAGGTGACATCTGACCTTTCCCGGCCAAGCGCTAATTTGCATATACGTGTTTTAAGACAGTGACACAATAAATAACATATAATGTAATTTACCTAGTATAGAGTGTCATGAACGTCTTCGCTAATTTTTGTCTGTTGATTGAAGCGAGCTCCCGTGTTTATATAGCGAGAGTCACTGGCTGATAAATCACAAGGACCTGATCATTTGTAACAGCTATATTTGGACCTAAACTAATGTGTTCGGAGTAGTTTGACATGTTTAAGGGGTTTAGATCGGCTTTCGGTAGAAATGAAAACCCCGACAATCATATACACGAGAAGGGCGGAGAGCTAAATCGATGTCGAAAAGTCGATTGTTTAAAGCAGAAAATTTGAAGGCTCGGTGAACACGGCTATATCCGCCAAGGGTAAGTGGAGTATATACGAAGCGAACACTTGGCTAGCGAGAATGATCTCACCGAAACGCACGGTTCTATTAAACAATCAAAGGTTCAATTTATGAAAAAAAAAAAAAAATCACTTAAGTGTGCCCACAGGACAGTATTCAAGATGTGAAATTATATGAAGTTTCAGGGTGTTTTTCAATCCATTTTGTATATATAATATGAAGTCAACAAATAAAATTATCGGCGTCTTGATTTTCTTAACTTACATTAAAAAGTATTAAAGTCAAACGAACATATAACGGACCTGAGTAGATCAACGTCCACATCCGCATAGGGTCTGGTACCAATGTCAGCAAGACTCTCGTCCATGTGCGCATAGGGTCTGGTACAAATATAAGAAAGACTCACGTCCACGCATAGGGTCTGGTACCAATGTAAGAAAGACTCTCGTCCACGTCCGCATAGGGTCTGGTAAAAATGTTAGAAAGTCTCTCGTCCACGTCCGCATATGGTCTGGTACCAATGTCAGAAAGACTCTCGTCCACGTCCGCATAGGGTCTGGTACCAATGTCACAAAGACTCTCGTCCACGTCCGCATAGGATCTGGTTCCAATGCCAGAAAGACTCTCGTCTAACTCCGCATAGGATCCTGTTCCAATGCCAGAAAGACTCTCGTCCAACTCCGCATAGGGTCTTGTTCCAATGCCAGAAAGACTCTCGTCCAACTCCGCATAGGTTCTTGTTCCAATGTCAGAAAGACTCTCGTCCAACTCCGCATAGGGTCTGGTACCAATGTCACAAAGACTCTCGTCCACGTCCGCATATGGTCTGGTACCAATGTCACAAAGACTCTCGTCCCCGTCCGCATAGGATCTGGTTCCAATGCCAGAAAGACTCTCGTCTAACTCCGCATAGGATCCTGTTCCAATGCCAGAAAGACTCTCGTCCAACACCGCATAGGGTCTGGTACCAATGTCACAAAGACTCTCGTCCACGTCCTCATAGGGTCTGGTCCAAATGTCAGACAGACTCTCCTTCACGTCCGCATATGGTCTGGTTCCAATGGCAGAAAGACTCTCGTCCAACTCCGCATAGGGTCTGGTACCAATGTCACAAAGGCTCTCGTCCACGTCCGCATATGGTCTGGTTCCAATGTCAGAAAAACTCTCGTCCACGTCCGCATAGGTTCTGGTACCAATGTCACAAAGCCTCTCGTCCACGTCCGCATAGGATCTGGTACCAATGTCAGAAAGTCACTCGTCCATGTGCGCATAGGGTCTGGTACCAATGTCAGAAAGACTCTCGTCCATGTGCGCATAGGGTCTGGTACAAATGTCACACAGACTCTCGTCCACGTCCTCATAGGGTCTGGTACCAATGTCAGAAAGACTCTCCTTCACGTCCGCATATGGTCTGGTTCCAATGTCAGAAAGACTCTCGTCCACGTCCGCATAGGATCTGGTTCCAATGCCAGAAAGACTCTCGTACAACTCCGCATAGGATCTTGTTCCAATGCCAGAAAGACTCTCGTCCAACCCCGCATAGGGTCTGGTACCAATGTCACAAAGACTCTCGTCCTCGTTCGCATAGGATCTTGTTCCAATGCCAGAAAGACTCTCGTCCAACTCCTCATAGGATCTTGTTCCAATGCCAGAAAGTCTCTCGTCCAACTCCGCATAGGGTCTAGTACCAATGTCACAAAGACTCTCGTCCACGTCCGCATAGGGTCTGCTACCAATGTCAGAAAGACTCTCGTCCACGTCCGCATAGGGTCTGCTACCAATGTCACAAAGACTCTCGTCCACATCCGCATAGGGTCTGGTACCAATGTCACAAAGACTCTCGTCCATGCATAGGGTCTGGTACCAATGTAAGAAAGACTCTCGTCCACGCATAGGGTCTGGTACCAATGTCACAAAGACTCTCGTCCACGTCCGCATAGGGAAATGTCACAAAGACTCTCGTCCACGCCCGCATAGGGTCTGGTACCAATGTCAGAAAGACTCTCGTCCACGTCCGCATAGGGTCTGGTACCAATGTCAGAACAACTGTATAACAGAAATCGTCATCAATACATTCATAATTCGTATATCAATCCAACTATTGTTAACATGAAAGGAGTGTTGTGCTGGTGTTGTGCTGTGCTATGATATGCTTTGCTATGTTATGCTTTGCTTTGTATGTGTGTGTGTTCCCGCGCGCACGTGCGTCCGTACGTTACGTATGTATGTACGTATGTGTGTGTGTGTGTGTGTATATATATATGTGTCGTATTCTCGTGCTCCACCTTTTTGATATATATTTAAGATATTGTTTATGTTTATAAATATGTTTATGCAACATGGTTGACATTGTTGTTATCCATGTCTGCCATGTTATTCGTCATTTAATCAAAGGACATTTACTGAACATATTTTATTCTTTGTTGTTCTTGATGTATATTTATCCAAAAAACTAGCTTTAGTCGTGATCGGATGATCGTGATGGAGATTTATAGCATGTATGTATGTATGTATGTATGTATGTATGTATGTATGTATGTATGTATGTATGTATGTATGTATGTATGTATGCATGCATGTATATATGCTTTAAAATGTATACACTTGGTCTGCCTTTATAAACAGTACATTAAGATTGACCCTCTGTTGCACCCGCTATGGAGTGAATAGAAAAAATCTTGAAAATTTGGTAACATGCTCGTAAAATAGCAAATAAAGATATATACCAGTGTAAGGATATTTACACAGCCATTTAACCGGGCTGACCGTGTTTAGCTAGGCCAGGTCCTACATGCACATGGACTTGCACTTATGTGAGGCGACGTAAATCTGTTCATGTACATCATAAATTGTTTTCAAATATCAAACTGAAATTTGGTATGCATTTGTATGATAATCATATAAATAACACATCTTTTAATATCGCTTATTTTATCGATTAATTTCAGAGATGAAGTCTAAAGACGCTTCTTGATCAATAGAGTTCTCTACACACACGTGTACAACGCCGCCGATCGTAAAACTTCAATTCATCATAACTCGGTCAATTTTCAAATAATTTAAAGCAACCTATTTTTTGATGTCGCTGAATTTAATTCGTATTTTTAAAGATATTGTCTGGCGACACTTGTCACTTGTTGTCGGTTGAAGACGCGTTTAAGTGTAACCGGCTTGACGAGACCCGTTTCAGAAGTAGGTTGTGTGAACCCGTGGAACATGAAATACAGCAAGATCCGGTTCCAAAGAAGAGGGTGACTCTTTTGAACCGGATCCTGCTGTATTTCATATTCCACGGGTTCACACAACCTACTTCTGATAGAACTTTCCGTATTGCGAGACTCCTTTTCCCGAAGTCTTTCTAACAAAAAATAGTGGGAAACGGGTTTTCAATACTGGGTGGCCCGTCAATGAAAGGCTTCCAACAAACAACGTAATGTCCGCATAGGGATTATTACGTAATTTATTGGCGATGTTTTTCTCTGATTTTTCGCTCAAAACAAGCTGCAACCAATGTTTTGTGAAACTGTTTTCCTTAGGATCAAAGTCGAGAAAATGTTGTGTCCGGGTCATGATTTCTGCCATCTGACGTACAACCGTTTGCAATATACATGGCAGTTTGTTTTGGCCCGTAAATTCGCATTCTCACGCGAGTTTTATGCATTTTTCACAACTTTGTAGTTGGGTCGGTATACATTGGGGACGTACAAATATCCCCCCCCCTCCAGCTGTTTTATCCGATTGCTAAATCTTTTGGCAGGAATTACCACCATAACATGGTCTTTTGATTCAAGGGAAGTTAGGTTAAACTCGTATCTTATTATTTTAACAGATTTTTTTTTTCTTTCATACAATAGAACAGAATGGGGAGATCCGTAATTCTCAATAAAATGATGAAGTTGTATGAATGTTTAACTTCAAATTTATCTCACAAAAACATCCGTTTATCATTGCTTTACTGGCAAAATCATTTGTAAATCGGACAAAACTGGTGCTCAAAATAATGATTTTCGTTGTTTAAAATCATGGACTAAACCATTTTTTCGTTGTTGAGGCAAAATTGCATGAGATGAAGTTTTCACCATCAGAACTTGGACACATTTGTTTCTTACCAAAATTACCATTTCAAATAAGTTCTGCACACATACAAATGAATATAAAACGCTTGTAAGCATTTGCTTGTCCTTTTCAAAATTACATGTTACAGAAATAGGTAAATTGTTTATTTTGGACATAAGTTAACACCAAATCGGCACAATTGGTCAAATTAGATGGTTGATATTTTTTTTGTATGTGAATGTACCATTTTTCGTGCTTTAATATTAGATAAAATGTGATGTTTTAAGAAGCTAGATATAGACTCATATGGTCACTGAGATTAAGTTATTAGTATTTTTCTGCATTTAAATAGAAAACAAAAGCCAATATTGTGAAGCTCAAAATGCTTTTAAGCGATTTACATAGTTCAGTAATTTTTCAATGCAATACCTCTGCTGTAACATTTTGGTAAATCTGTACTATATTTCAGTTGGTCTTGCTATACGGTTAATCTTATTTATCCAGTAAAAGAGGTAAATATTACGCTTCAAAAGTGGTCAGATATGTGATTTTCCTTATTTTCTTGAATAGAATAGAAGGTAAAAAAAATGTTTTAACAAAGTTTGATTCCAGAAGACTTTTTTCCTGTTAACTACCATTCCAAGAAAACAAAAATAAATTCTGTTGCAATTAGTTGGAGGTTTGGGCTGATTTAGCGTAGGGTGACGAGACTATCAACTGATGCGCTGACGTAAAACGCCGACGAAACAAAGCACTGTGTAAAGTGCTCAGTACGAAACCTGTGCTCAAGTTGCCATACAAAGTAATATCAGTAAAAAACGATGATTATTTACGACACTTAAACATTTCACATCATCAGAGTTAAGGTAACAGGTGTATATACACCTGTTACCTATGTGTTATGCTGTGTATCTCTTTATAAATGAAATACTCTTAAGATTATATTTTAAACGTGCCATCAGTTCTTGTTTATCTTTCAAAAACTGTCGTAAGTTCCTTTGAAATAAATCATCAGTTCTAGCGTGTCTTTCACATGTGTCGTCAGTGAAACGTAACTCAAGCATAACGACCAGTTCTGTATAGCCTTCCCATGTGTTACGTTTAAAATTCAAAACTGTCATCAATTCATCTTAACATAACGAATGTGTTCTGTTACTTCAGTAATGCTTTCCTATGGTAAATCTTAACATAAGGAATGTTTTCAAGTTAATGAACGTTCGCAAATCTTTGGCTAGACTCATTAAGACCCAGAATAATGAATTATTTCAATGTTTGTTCCTGTAGAACTCCAATGGAACTTGGAAAAAACCAGATACATTGTATAGTCTAGATCGTTTCATTAGTCTGGGTCTTAATGAGTCTAGCCAAAGATTTGCGAACGTTCATTAACTTGAAAACATTCCTTGTGTTAAGATTTACCATAGGAAAGCATTACTGAAGTAACAGAAAACCTCTCTGACTTTAGATTTATTTTGTTGATGCTCTCATGTGGGGAAAAATGTTAAGACGTTTTTTTTTTATGTTAATTGACATTTGTGAAAATGAGGCCAAAAGGTTCACCTTGGATTATGACGTAAATACAATATCGTGATGTCTAACATTCTCACTAAAACATACAAATATAATTATACTCTGTTGGATTTCTTAGGCAAGATTGTGTTATAAGTACTAAAGCACTTGAGATAAATATCTGTGGCCATTATCGTGGATTTATCTACATGAAATTTCAAAAAGAGAAACTTGAACACATTACGTCACAACAGAGAATGTTGCATGTGATTTGTATTTTATCAACTTGACAAGGTGTATCACAGATAAGCCTCCTGGGGGGTGTATGGCGACATATATATGATCCTAATAAAGGCAATTCGTCATAGTTGGTGGATAAACAGGAGACTTTGTTATGACATGCGTGCGGCTGGTACCCTCTGTTACTACATCAGACATAACTATTGACGTCCTATATGACAATTTTAAGAAACTTAATTCATTCGAAGAGGACAGTAATAATGACGAGGTTGATAACGACAGTTTTGATAATGATGATGACGTCAACAATACATTGAATGGACCAATTACTGAATCAGAAATACAAAAAGCTATAAAATCATTAAAAAATAATAAAGCGTCCCGCCCGGACCGCGTTTTAAATGAATATCTGAAAATTCCCAACAGTCTATTGTAAATTGTTCAAAATAATATTAGACACGGGAATTATTCCGGAAATTTGGAGTGTCGGTATTATCAAACCAATATACAAAAATAAGGGAATTCCAGAAGACCCTGATAATTATAGAGCTATCACTGTAATTAGTTGTCTTGGTAAACTATTTTCTTCAATTATCAATACCCGTCTTAATGAATATGAAAAACAAATCAATTTGATATCTCGAAGTCAGGCAGGGTTCAGGAAAGGTCATTCAACTATATATATAGACAACGTTTTTATTATGCATATTCTCATTTCTATTTATCTGTCAAGTGGCAAAAAGCTATACTGTACCTTTATTGATTTTAAAAAGGCATTTGATACCGTCTGGAGAGCAGGTCTGTGGCAAAACTTACATAGCAGCAATATAAACGGGATATGTTTCAGAGTTATCTATAACATGAATAATAATATTAAATCCTGTGTTCAATTCAACTCGAAAACGTCAGATTTTTTCCCCTGCTTGATCGGGGTTAGACAAGGGGAACATTTATCCCCCTTTCTTTTTTCAGTATTTCTTAATGACATTGAAAGTTATTTTGCTTCTTTAAGTTGTGTGCCACTCGAAATTGTACGGGATAAG